GCAGCTTTATTTCCCTGCCACAAAGGCAGGGCGCCTGAGCCGGCCTCGAGGAGGGCTGGCAGCTCTGCTCTCCCAGACCCCGAGCTCTGACCTGGGATGCTGGCAGCTGCCTCGGCAGTTGTGTTGGTAACCACCCTTGCTGCCCACCTGCTGCAGCGAGGCGAGGACGCGGCCGCCTGGGTCCTGCTTCCAGAGCGAGTCCTTAGCAATGAAAAGCAATCGTACGGATCTTTGGTTAAGTCACTGAAGGAGGCGAAGATCTGAGCCGGGGCTCACCGGACCTAACACTGAACACAGCACTTGGAGAGCTAAGGGTACTTCCAGTTTAGACAGCAGCATGTGTCCAACTACCTGATTTCCACAGGCATGGCACCTGGAGAAAAAGGAGAAGGGGAGGAAGCATTGAAGGGGAGTCCCGGCTCTTCATCTGGATGCTTGGTCTTCCCCATGTCCTTCATTTGTTCTCGATCAGAGTCTGGACTTTATAGACAAGGTCCCGAGCCAGCTTCAGGATCTGCTTGGTGTTGTGTCGCTCAGCCATTTCTGGAACACAGACAGAAGGAACCCAAGAAGAGGCTAGACCTGAGCAGCTTGGCACCTCAAGGAGTCCCCCAGCCCCCCACCTCTCTGCTTCTCAGCGGAGCTCCAGGCAGGAGCCAAAGCTGCAAATTCCCACCTAAGTTCCCAAGCACCATCCCTCACAAAGACATCCGACTCTGAAGAGCGATCACTAACCACCTCGGGATGATCAGAGCTGTCAGGAAGCAGAAAAGCACAGCAAGGTGGGCTGTCACCATGGCTGGCAGGGTGGCTCCCCCAGCACCACCAGGCCTGACTGTTAAGGGGCCCGGGGTCTCTCTACCATCGTGTTCCGTGTACCAGCATCGCATACCCACGCATCACCCTGTTGACATGTTTACCAGTACAGCCCTACAGTCAGGTAGGCACGTGCTGCCCACATCTGAGCAGCTGCTACACATTCAGCCCACGAGAACACAAGCTGTACCATTGAAAAACTTGATGATGTCTGTAAAATCCATGTTGTTCTCCAGGATGATGTCCCGGTACATTTCCACCAAAGCCAGGGCGATGAAGAGCACGTAGTGTGCAGAGGAAACGTGCGCAGCTGCCCAGATGGTCTCCCAGACGGCAAACACGTCATCGTACACCAGCTCTATTAACAGAGGAAAAAGCCCAGCAGTTACTGCACCAGCCGTGGGTTTACAATCACCCTGAGTCACAGAGTTCACAGCAGCACTGGGAAGACACGCTGGGTGGTTTCTCTCCACAAGAACCTGTTCCAGTTGGAAGCAATAAGTCAGTCATCTCTACAGACAATTATCTGGGCCTGCAGCAGGCAGCACAGGCTTCAGGACAAAAACCTGGTGGCAGCTCGCCAGCAGCTCTGGAACAACAGGTTCTGCATCTAGACAGAAAAGTCAGCAACAAATCTACCGGGGAAAACGAAAGAGTGACACGTGGTGAAGAGCCAAGTTCAAAGAACTGAAGCCGCAGAGGGTATCGAGAAGCGTGGAGCCACGGCAGACCTTGCCTTCCCTCCCCACTTTGCTGGTCTCAGCTGTGTCCCTTCCAGTACACACCTCTCTTGAAGTCCAGGAGAAACCATCGGTAGCAGAAGTAGAAATGAGTGTAATCACCATTCTGGTGCATCAGCTCAAAGAGCTCAGAGTCCAGAATCTGCCAAGAAAAGCAAAAGAAAACTCAGTAGAGCACACCAGAGGCACCAGCCATGCCTACTCTTACCGCATGACATCTTCCACGCAGCTCTGCAATCCTGGCACACGTTACTCCAGCTTGTTTTTACAGCCTCCTGCTCTCCCCTCTCCTTCCCACAGAAAGCTCCTCTCTCAGCCTCTCCGAGACCCCCATCCCGAGAACAGCTTTCCCTCTCTGCTTTGAGAAGCTGCTGTGCCTGGTCCAGGACATCCCTACCTGGATCAGTGATCTCATGTTGGCAAAGTGGGTGTCCATGGCTCCTCCGTGGGGGAAGTTCTGATTCATCCTCTTCATAAGCTCGGTGAAACAGCTGAAAGCCAGAGCCTCTGTGCAGGGAAGAGAGAGAGTCAACTGCTCAGATCCCACCACCAGCCCAGCAGATCCCCCGGCTCCTGACAAAGGCATGGGGACAGCAGAGATGAATCACCCGCTCACCATCATCGAGGATGACCAGGAGAGGGGCGAGCAGGTCACACATCCCCTGCACGTAACCGATCTCGATGTGCTGCCAGATGTAGCTGTGGGAGAGAGCAGGATAAAGCGACCTGTGAGCCCTTTTCCCACGTCACCTCGGTTTGTAAATTATTTAAGAAACGTGTGGCACAATGGCCATGGCCATTGCAGGATGTTGATCCAGAGCTGTGCCAACAGCCATTGCACACGCAGGGAAAAGCAAAACTGTCGGTTTATCTCTTGTGGTCACCCTTCCCTGCCTCGATTCATCCTCTTGGCTGCTTCACCTCCCTGGCCCCAGCGTCCCAGGAAGCAACAAGCCCTGCAGAGAGATCTTCCCATATTTGGTAGCGAGTCAAAAGCCATTCAGAAAGGACTCAGATCGACCGCTGGCACAAGAGAACGATCTCTTCCATCCTGCCCACTAGGTTTTCCAAAATCTGCTGGGTTGTAGGTCTTATCTCAGCAGAGATCTCCCGACTCCGGCTGCCAGATAAAAGCAGCAGCTTTAATGAAACGGTAGCTTCTCCTCATATTTGCAAGATGAGTAATAATATTTTAGCCTTCACTGCCCCGTGAAGCAGCCACAGCTGCTGAGCTGGAACTGGTTTGAGTTGGCAAATGTCACATGCAGCAACCTCTGAGTCACAGGTACCACACAAAGAGAATCAGGAACGCGCCCAGGTATTGCTGTCTCCAGGGCAGGCACTAACCTCTTGCTTCAGGCACTTCCTCATTAGCACCAAGCAGGCTGATCCTCATTAAAACATTTCCCAGACACATTCCAAGTGGGCCGAGCTGGGTTCAGACCGGGAGGCAGCCCCAGGGAACCCTCTGCTTTGGCCAACAACCCATATACAGCCCAGACTCCTCAGTCTGGTAACTGTGAGGTCCTTGGAGCTGCAGCCCCAGCTCCAGGATGACAAGGGCATTTGGGGGAGGAAGTCAAGGAAGTGAAACTCAGAAACCAGAAATGAAAATCTGACGCTCCAGCCCCCGCCACGACTCCCACCTGCACATGATGTTGCGGAGTTTCTCCAGGTTGGTAGGTGTGAAGTACCAGTAGTTGCGGTCACAGCGCTGCACGTCCTTCTCGATGCGGTGTAGGTTCACCGTGTACATGTCCAGTAGCTCTGGCTGCCCAAACCAAAAAGCAAAGTTGATTTGTTTTCATCTAGAAACCAAAAGGAAAGTCGCGAGGGCAACAGGGCAGAGTCTGGGTGGAAGGCAACGAGGCAATTTCAGGATTAGCACAGGGCAAACGCAGGAGCACCCAGGGAGAAACTCACCCAGCGGGCAAGTCTGTACTTACAGAGTAGGTGACACCCGTCGAGGAGACAGCAGACGCTTCACTGTTGGCCAGATCAGTCACGGTCAGAGAATCCAGCTGTGGGTACAAACTCTCCATCTCTGGCTCCTCGGAGAGGTTATCTTCGCTCTCCACCAAGCTTTGCTTTTCAGCTTCGCTGTCTGCCCAGCTCTCCACCACAGTCAGGGCTACAGCATCACGACCACACAGAACTCCAGCCGAGCTCTCAACCATGGGAACAAAGTCCACGCTCCCACTGGTGGAAAATTCACCTTCCAGACTGTCTTGGCCCTGCAGCTTCTCCTCCCGCTGGGCACCATCCGGGTCCTGTGTACCCGGCACGTCGCACCCACCAGCCCTTCCCTGAGAGCTGGCCGAGGATTTGTTGGTTTCCAGGGCACTGTCCTCATTACTAAAGCTGCGCTCCGAGAACCCCGATGCGATGGAGAAGTTCTGGGAAGAGGGGTGGCCGGAATCAGGGGAACACGTGCCGTTGGGAACCGTCCCATTGGGGATCTTGCTTTGTTTGCCATCTTCCAGCTGAGCATCTGCTTCTGTCTGTTCCACTTCATCGACAGACTCAAACACCTGCAAAGCACGAGCAGGGAGCCACGTGAGAGCAAGCAAACCCTCTGCATTCAGCAAACCGTTGGGAACACGCGCATTCTGTCCGCAGGAGCTCTTGTTCCCAACGGTGGAAAGGGAGGAAGATCTGCTCCAGATGCACAAGGCTCATACAAGCAACCTGTGGAACAAAGCTCAGAGGACTCTGGGGCACTTGAACTCCCTGGTGCTGTGCCTGGCTGGGGCTCCCCAGCTTCGCCACGGTGAGAGACAGCTTCAGCCTGAGCATTGAGCTCTCCATCCCATTTTAACCAGACTCTGGGGAGGAATTTCTGGGCACAGAAACTCCTTAGCCTTTGGGTTCCCCAGCCTGGATTTGGCAGGTCGGTGCTCAGTCATTTGCACAACTCGGAGCCCACAGTCCCCCGTCCAAAAGACCACGCTTTACTCTGTAAAATACATTGAGCAGAACGTCATTTAAACAGGTTGGTTAAACACACGGTTACTAACACACAGAGCAGCCAAGGGCCCTCAAGTGTGAAGGCCACATGGGGCTTGGTCCTTCGAGCCTGGCAGAGGCAGCTGGTGAAGATTAAACTCCACCAAACAGCACACAGTTCCAAGTTTAGTGGCTCCAAGAGCAGGTTTGTGAGTCATTTACCTCCTCCAACTACCGCTTCTATTTGCCTGAAATCATTACGGTCTTTGGGGCAGAGAGCCGGACACTGCTGGGTGGCCTCAGTGAGCCAGAGGAGGCAAAGCGCTGCCGCTCACCTGTGTGCTGGAGCTGGAGTCGCTCTGCAGCCGGGCGTGGTTCTGGCGGCCAGAGCTGCAGCTCTGTGAAGACTGCAAGAGAGAGGGGAAAAGGCCAGTGAAAACACAAAGAGCAGGGTGTCTGGAGCAGAGAGAGGCTCAGGCTCTCAGAGGCGAGCCCATCTGCACGGAAAAACAAGCAGAAAAAGCACTCAATAAGTTCTCATATTTGACCCGTCAACTCTGCCGTGCAGATCTGTCACACGGCGCAGCGCCCTGCCTCAGCCCGCCACTGACATTTACTGCTGGAGAAGATGACAAAAGCCAAAGTCCCAGGCCAATCTGGTTGTTCAAACGCCGTGTGTTTGGGTCCGAGAGGAACTGCTTGCTTCTGGCCTTCAAAGAGGTCACACTGTCTCCCTGGAGTGCAAATTTCTACAAATCTCTGTCCTAATTTGGCAGCAACGCGGCTCACTCCATCTCAGTTTACATAAACGATGAAGTCAGAGGCTATAAAACAATCCCTCCAAGTATATTAGTGCTTTTTTCCTTCTCTTCAAGGACAAATATTGATGTTTTAAGCCAAACTCAGTCAAGGCAGCCCCTCTAAAAGTCAACAGCACCCTTTTCTGGCTTCCAGCTGAAGTGCAGAAGGAAGCGTCGGGCTTCGCAGCGACTGGGTCGGCGCTCTGCCTCACGGATTCCCTCCGAGCAACCAGTCCTCACCGCAGAGCAAGTCCTGCCCGTACTCTGAGCTTATCGCACGCGAGTCGAGGCACAAGGAGCGTCGCGCTGACATCACGCGCCAACAATAGGATTTTAAGAAAACGGCAGCAGGAGTTGTCCCCACCCTCGCATTGTGGGTGTTGGTGGGGCAGGGCTCTGATGGAGAGAGGAAGGGCGACAGTTTTCCTCCATTTCCATGGGAGTGTTTTGTAACAGGAAATTTCAGAATAAGATGGGAAAAGGGTGAACCTTTGCCTGTATTAATTCCGCCAGCTCCCCTCCTGGCGCGTGCTCCCAGAGCAGATAGATGTGGACACCAAAGAACCACCACAGCAGAGATGCTGTCAGGATGGGAACGATTCCTGGGGCTCCAGCAACGCCGACACACAGCCCACCTCTGCTCCTCGCAGCTCTTGCATGCAGGCCCTGGGTCGGACTTGCCTTCCCGAAATCTCTCCCTCTCTGTACACATGTGGCCTGCCTGGCTGGGGCTAAGCTCATCTCTTTCCTAATTTGTCACACAAACTCCCCAGAGGAAGCCAGATGAAGTCTCCAGTGCTGCTCCTACTTTTCGGCTTGGCCTCCACTCACCTCTGGTGCAGCAGCGTGAGGTCAGATAAGGCAGCACTGCTCGCTCCGGCGTGCTGAGCTGTTCTCCTCCAAGGACAAAACCCACACGGAAACACTCCCTGGACTGTGTTGCCAGGACTGTCTCTCCTTTGACAGGCTTTTCCTTCTACATCCTTCGGTTTGGGCTGTGGATCCAACTCCTTGCTGCGCTGCTAAAAGTCAGTTCCATGGAGCTGGGTGCTGGGGCCCAGTTCTGCCCCACAAATGCACCATGGCTGCCCCAAGCCCTCGGGCTCCTTCCCAGCCAGCCCTAGAGCCACCCCGCTCCTTCTGCCCCTGAGCTTCCTCTGTGCTGAGCAGCTGATGGAAAGGGGAGCCAAGAAATCCACTGACCTTTTTCACAGCCCCTCAGTGCCACAAACATGGTCTTCCTTCCTCACCTGCTTCAACATGGACTTTCGTGGGGCTAATCCTGACACGCACCAGGAGTGCAAACCAGGTCACAAGTATCCCTTGTTCTCCAGAAACACCCACAAGAAACATTTTACAGGACTGGTGAGAGTGGCTCCACAGACACACGTAGCTCCACAGCTGAGCACTGGGCTTCCAGCTGAGCCCCTGCCCTCTCTCTGCTGCCCCCAGCTCCCAGGCTCTCTGTGCCCAGGACCCCGACTCAGAGGCATGGATGTAGAACTGCTCAACACCGCTGCAAGAACCAAAAGGAATTTGTTAGACCTCTAGCATGTCACTCAGGCACAACCTCTCCATCAGTGCAGTTCCACAGAGTCTGGGAACCGAGGTCGTACCACAGGGGATGTGCGCTCCTACTGCTACACACTCCGAAAGAGCAGATGAAAGAAAACGAAGCCCTGACCCTAACTTGCACAGATCACAGTGAGGGACAAAGCTCACAGACAGGCAGAGCAAGAACTGTGCCTCTGTCCTTCCCTGTAGCGCAGCCCAACACACCGGTGTGTGCACAGCCCCTGCAAAACCCCCGCACCCTCACCTCGTTGCTGATCGTTGAGTCCCGGTGCATCATCCTCTGCAGGTGGGAATCCAGGCTGGCCCCGGAGGAGCACTTGGCCAAGGCCGCGGCATGAGACTCCTTCTCCCGCTGCCGGACGATGGCCTCGCAGCCCAGCCACTCGGCCATGGCCTCGCCCCCCCAGCCACTCGGCCATGGTGTGCTCATAGCAAGTGCGGATCTGGTCGTCAGCCTGTGGCGTTTAGAGAGAGAGTCTTGGAAAAGATACCCCTGGAACAGCCCAGAAACTGGCCTCCTCCACCCCCCAAACAGCCCAGCACAGACAGGTTAAGTGCACGCTTGCATTAGCTGTGGCCAGAGGGGACATGAAGTCACCCATCTCCAGCACAGTGCCAGCCAGAGCCTCACCCACAACACCTTGCAAAAATTACGATGGAAAAATGACCATCCATCTCCCTTCCTGAGGCATGCAGGGCACTGAACATCAGCAGTCAGTGGCTGCGCGGGGCAGCATCGAGCTTGGTTCTATTGATTCCTGCTTATCTGGGTCTTTCTCTCACCTCCTGCATACAGCCACAGTACAAGCAGGACACAACGCCTGGTGGGCTCACAGGGTGGGCTCTGCCACAGGGACACTTCAAACTGTGAAATATCCAGGGCGTGCCAGTGCAAAACCCCAGGCTGCTGACCCACACCAACCTCTTTCCTTTCTGCCTCCGTCATCCCAAACTGATAATGGCCCAAAAGGAAGGGCCACACAGCCTTCCTGATCTCGTGCTGGATCCCACCGTAGTAGATCAGCCGCAGCAGCTCCTGGTCCTCGTAGCTCTGTGGGAAGAGCTCTGCGTCAGAGCACAGACACAGCATCAGCTGTGAGATGCAAAGGGCAACCCCGGCCCAGCTGTGGCACCTTTCAGCACCCAGAGAGCTGCCCACACACTGACCACGTGCAAACTCGCTGCCCATTCATTGCTGATGCTCTCTCAGATCTCTGCTTGGCCTTAAGCACAGCCAGAGGGCCCTGTGGATGGACATTTTGGGAAATACTGGCTCACCACAGCCAGACAAGTGGCCCACAGCCACTCAAGGTCACCGCTGGCACATGTCAAGACTGTGACACTGGTCACAGCTCTCTAACTGCTGGGCTGTATCGGTGTGCTGGGATGCCCCACAAGACCACAATACTCAGGGTGACCGACCCTGCTGCAGACAGGCTCCCAACAGCAGTGTGCTAAGGAGAGTAGCCTTCGTTCCCCAGCTTCCACGTGTCAAAGATTACGAGCCCCAGGCTCCGTGCAGCCTGGAACAGGCTTTCTGATTTCTCTTCTCAGGAAACTTTTCCATTTGCTTTACCCCACCATGCCACAACAGCTTAAGTGACACTGTCCTGGACACCCCAAGCCCACCACAGCTGGCATGTCCCAAGAGTGCTGGCCCTACCGTGCTGTCCTGGAGGTATCTCTGCCATATCTCCACGGTGAGTCCCGAGCTGGCGTTGCAGGGCACGTCAGGAGACACGATGTTGTGGTTAACCAGCGCAGACAGGTGGGTTCGCACCGTGGAGAGGTGTCTGCAGTAAGCCAGCCCTGCAGCAGGCAGAAGCGAACATTCAAGCTAGGAAACTTGGGGAGCCACGAGGATGAAGTGCAGGAGAAAGCTCTGATGAATCTGGTCCCTGAAGGAGACCCTCTGAAGTCACACACAGCCTAAGCAGCAAAGCAGGGAATCTACTGGGACAGGTCAGCATCTCCCTGTCTCATGCCACCAGCGCTGCTGCTCGCTGGGCTGAGGTCCCAGGATCGGTGTTCAGAGGTTTGCTCCCAATGCCGAGCATGTGAACACAGGGCTGCACACAATAGGCTGGTGCCAGTACCCTCGGCCTCTGCCCTGCTGCCTCAGCACCACTCCTAGCCCAGAGCCCAGGACTTTATCTCTTGCCCATCACACCTCAAGGCATCATGCATGTGACAAGTACTCACAGCCGTAGAAAGCCCGGGAGAGGATCTGGTACTTCATATTGTCACACAGGAGCTTCAGTGGAGCTCTGCCAACAAAAACGTATCACATGTGAGGACTGGAAACGCTTTTGTGCATTCCCTCAGCCCCTGCTTTGATCTGTTCCAGCTCTGCCTTCAGAGGTGCACCATGGGACCTCTGTTCAGCTGGAGAGCTGCAATTCCCTCTGCTAAGACATGGCCACACATCGCAGCCGAGACATCTGAGGTGAGGGGACAAGCCTCCCATCAGCCTGGACATGTCCCACATGCCCCTGCAAATGGTGCCTGGACCACCGAGACAAGCGTGAGGCTGGAGACACCACTTGCAGCATCATTGCTCTAGCTGAGCCAGCCAGCTGGGCTTTCACCTGTAACCCTTGTTTAATTTTACCTGTATTTCTCAAAGCCAGCAGCAGCAGGGCCATCGTACCTTTCATGGCTGCAGCCGTTGGATGGGCCACCGTCAGAGGAGCCGCTCTGAGAGCAGGAGGAGCAGGAGGACTTGCGGGTGCTGGGTTGCCACATGGGAGGCAGGCCAGTGCCCGGTGCGTCCATCAGGTCCTGGGCTACTGTAAGATGACCAAGAGAGGAGCATCAGCTACTGCCTGGCCCTGCCCCACAGTCAGGTGAGCCATGGGAGGTCAGAGAGGAGAGTTTTGATTATCCCACTCCTCTTTTCAAGGAGACTCCAGCAATCAGATAGGACCCACACCAGGTAATCACAGCACCAGCACTGGTGAGCTCAGGAGAAAGGAAATAAAAAGCACTGATGAGAGAGAGAAAACCATCTGCTAATTAACTACAGTGCCTTCAGCAAGATCATCTTAAACTGCCGAGTGCTAACCAAGGCAGAAAACAAACACCCAATACGGAAAGACTCCAGAAAAGGGGCAGCAACAGACCATCACACAGACAAGAAAAAACATGATTGAAATCAACCATTGCCCTTGGATCCCATCCAAGATTCAAAGAAAAAAGTGGGTGTTGAAATCACAAGACAGGAGATACAGACTTTGATGAAGAGGATGAGAGGGACAGCAGGATCAAGCAGCTCTTCATGTTGTCACTTGCTAAATCCCCATTGAAACTCTGAAGTTCTGTTTGCAGCGGCCTCAGATTCTGCTCAGGTCCTGCCCCACAAAACAGCCAGGGGCAGGGTGAGGGGAGCCAAGCTGTGCCCACGCTGAGCAGCCTGGCTGCTGGTCTGGAACAGCCGTGCGCTTCGGACTTGGGCCTCCCTAGGAAAAGGTCACCATGATGAAGGCAAATCGTGGGATGCAGAAAAAGATTAATGAGGAATAATCATATTTATTCCTCCTTGGAAACTAAATTGTGGTAAAAATTCCAGATGCCTGCTGGGAGAGGGTTTCCTCACTTGCCCTTCATCTCACTGACTATTGAATAACTGATGATAGCATGAAAAGTGTTGAAACATTCCTAATTCCCTCATATCGAGCTGATGGGTTAGTGATGGTCAGCAGTGACAGGGGACACCTCTACAGGAATTGTCAAGTGACAGCACAGGCGAGCAGTAGTCCCTGACACCAACGACAGGAGCATTACACTCAAGCTGAGCGGCCCCCCGAGCGGCAAGAAGAGGTCGAGATGTGATGGGGAGACTCGGAAACCACTTAGGGATCACCACCGTCTTGCTTGCAGCTGGAGTCCTTGCCATCTTCCTTCTCACAGCAGTGATGGAGGTCACAGACGCAAGGAAAGGATGAAAACCACCACTAATGGTAACTAGAGACACGGAGAGAGGACAAGGGCGCAAATAAAAGGGGAAGAAGGAAGAATCTGTGGAGAAGAGAGAACTGATGCAGTTCCACCCCCCTCTGGGAAGGTCCACAGGAACCGCACTGACTTTGATGACGCCAGCTGAGGAGATTGCAGCAATTCATTTTGTAGAAAATTTGGCCCCCAGCGTTTTAAGGAGTAGATCAAAAGGAAGCTACAGAAAGGAGCATCTCTATCTGTTATTGTAGCCTCAGTCAGATTTTTATCTGACTCACTGATTGTGTTAGTCAGCTAAAGGCAGGGGAAGTTGAGTATAATCTTAACTGATATTAAGTCACAGGAGATGTGATTGCCTCCTCTAGCCTCAAAAATAGAGGAACACTTTTTTGATCAAGTTGCATAGCTTTTTCAAATCACTCTCTAAGCCTTCCATTGCACTCTTGGGCTTCCACCCTTATAAAGTCATCTATGATGTTCTCAGAAGCCAAGAAATTGTTCTTGGTATTCCGCAGAAGGGTAAGGGCCAATGTACAGTCATTTCAGCCAAGCACATGGTTCAGACCGTTCACGGGCAGACACTCAGGGCACTGCCTGGTTTGGTGAATCCAGCAGCATCCTCTGCCTTGCCCTGTGAGATTGGGAGTGAAGACATGCGGGTCAGGCCTGGCAGGACACAGCGAAGGGAGCTCCTTTGTGCTGAAGGAACGCAGTAGGATTTAATGCAGCACTTGTAGAGTTGGCCTGGTGATAGCAAGGAAAGAATCAGCCCTGGAGGCTTGTGATGGTCGAAAGGAACATGGCCAAAGTGAACCTTACTACTGAAATTACATGCAAGAATTTTTCTTCCAACCATTAAGGCTGCTGTGGACCGTTGTGCAGCTGCAGAAGTGAAGGACTCGGTAGCAAACAAAAGGTTAAAACACAAAAATAAGGTCCCAACCTACACATGAGGGTGGTTAAAAGGCAGTACTGTTACAAGCAAAGCCCATTGCTCTGGAACCATTTCCTGGCACAAATTGCCACGTGCCTGTCAGGGCTATGTCTCCAGCTGTTCACACTACCCCCATGACAACCCACCCAAAACACTCCACCAACACACTCACCGAACTCAGACTGTGTCCCTGGGTAGATTATTCTGAAAACGTAATCGGTGGCTTCGTCATCTTCCTTGTCGGAGGCAGACTCGGAGGAGCCCTGGGGACTTCGCTTCCTCAGCTTGGGAAACACCTTGCCCTGGTGAACAAAACCCGCTCAACACAAACCGCCCCGTGACCAACCACGCAGCCGGTGTGGTCACTGCCCCGTGCGCCGAGCTCCTGCCTAACAAGAGCCTTCGTCAGCCTGGGGGCTGTTTGCACGTCCCCTGTGCTGAGCAGCTTTGGGATTAAGTTTTCACTGACACAGTGAGTAGATCAGCCTGTTTGTGCACAGGGTGTGTGTAACAGAGGTCCATGAGAACCAAACCCGCTGCACCGCACAGCCAGCGCTCCCACACCACCGCACCCTCTGCCCAGAAGGGTCTGTTTAGCCGGTTGAGGCCATGAGTTAAACCAGGCTTCCACATTTCAAGCCCACCTTCCTTCTTAGTTTCGGGAGGGGCGACCGTTTAAAATGCAGCAGCCACTAACTAGGGGGCCGGTTAGCTCAGTCAGTTGAGCATGGCGCTAACAATGCCAAGGTCGCAGGTTCGATTCCCGTCCGTTCCCCATGTATTCCCTGATCTAGTCGAGAGGTGACGTCCCTGGCGGCAGGGAGGCTGGATTAAAATGATCTCTGAGGTCCCTTCCAGCCTAGGCCATTCTATGATTCTAACACTGGGCAGAGGGTCCAACCCATCAGCTCTGCTTCAAGACAGGCCACAGGGGAACACTGGCAAGAACCCGCGGTGCCGTGGGCTCGGGAACAAGCCCAGTTTCAGGGTGCCCACCTTTCCCCGCTGCGACCAGAGGGGTGGATCCAGCTGCCCGTGGGGCAGGAGGCCGTTCTCCAGGCAGGACAGGAACTGCAGTAAGTGGCCTCCTCTGGGGAACCGCAGTGGGGGCCTCTGAATCCCATCCTGGCTCACCAAGACAACCGTTCCACCGCTGTCTACTGTTAGCAACAGTGACAGCAGAGAGAAGACACAGACATGAATGAGGGAAATACAACCAATCGAAAATACAGAGGGCAAACAAGAAAGCTCAGGGAAGTGTCTTTCTGGTATAGAAAATAAAGACTTTCCTCTTTATTTGGATTCTTATCTAAGTCTCCTACATGTCTAGGGCCCTGGAGAAGGCTTCCCTGGCAGATCACACCCTTGAAAACCAGAGAGCATTGCTCTGCAGGGAGCACTCCCCAGCCAAGCACCACAGCCAGGAGCTGGTTTCAAGGCTTTCCTAGAAGCATTTGCACAGTGACCACCCAGAGCTCTGGACATCTGCTTCGCAGCTCAATCAAAACGCTCCCACGTGGGCACTCCCCAAAGACCTAATGCAGCAAGTGTCAGGGTGGTAACACCCCCAGCAGCCCCCCACTCTGGCCTTACCTTGCTGGTGACAGTGCAAGTAGACGATCTCCTCCAGGCGAATAGTCATGGCATAGTCCCAGTACACGCTGGAACAGAGAAAGAGAGGGAAGTTGGGAGCTTCAGAGATGCAAGAGACTCTGCTTCTGCTCACATCAGCTCCAGATCCTGCCTCTGGCTTCCCTAGTGCCAGGGCAGGCACCAGAAAGGATGAGGTCCCAGCAGCAGTGCAACTGCCATGAAGGCAGCCTGAGGAAGTGACAACATCCCTCCAGAACTAGTAACTGCCCCTGCTGCCACAGCTCAACCAGGGCAAGTCCAGTCCCACCTGCCCTGGGGTGTTTCCCTACCCTCAAGTCATCCCCAGACACAGAAAACATGCCCATGGATCCTGGCAATTGCAGGGAACGGCATGGAGCCCTGCAGAGCTGAGCACTCTACCCTGGGCAGCCCAGAAAAGGATTCCCCTGCATTTCCTAACATCCTGCTTCTTTGCAACAAAATAATTTCCAGATTCTGAGCAGTACTATCTGTCACTTCACAAAAATAGCACTTGAAATAAAAGCTCAAAAAGACGGTCAACAACCATTGGGGTGCGTAAGAGTTGTTCCTTGTAGGTTCATACTTACTTTGTCATCTGGTTCCTCTCTTCCTTGGTCACGTCTTGACACTGGGAAGTTTTAGAGCTTAGGCTGATGCCCAAGTCAAGAACTCAGAAAAGTGGTGTAGAGGTGAAAATAGCATTATAGGGGAAGGGTACCAGGCATAACGGAATGGCCCAGGGGCCAAGAAGAGAGGAGAGATGAAAATAACACAGGTAAACAAACCCAAAAAACTACAATTAAGAACAAAAAAAAAAAAAGAGAACAAGTTTTGCTGAAGAAGATCTTTACCCTGGGTCAAAGAATCAGTATCCTAAACACTCCTGCCCTCCTGCAGCGCTTGCTGGTTCAAAGGGATTTTGTTTCGTTTTTCAGGCAAATTGGGACCTGGCACGATTCTGTAGTTTGTTAAGAGGACTGTGGCTGTTGAGAAATGCCAGCAGTTCATAAGGCAATCCCAGTAAAGGGCGTAACAATGCACTCTGCCAAGCAAACGAAGCAGATGTCAGCCCCCCCTGGGCAAACAAGCTCCAGGGACTCAGTTAAATCCACAGGACTCTGAATACCTGCACATGGGATTTGGGGCAGACTGCACCGTAACAGCACCACAAACTGGCACAGGCTGTGTGACCGAGGCGCCATTAGCTGGGACCTGCTCCTGTTCCCTCTCTCTGCAGATACTCTTCCCCAGTCTGTGAGCTCCTCACTTCTCCCAGATTAAAAGAACCACAATAAACCCGAAAGCAACGTGCAGCGCATAGAGAGAGCATTCTCCTGTGAAAATCCCCGAGGGCAATAAAGGAAAACACTTTGAATCTTTGTCTTGCTGAACACTTCCCAGCAGAGACGGGCAACAACACAACATCTCCCACCACCTCAGGCCTCTCTCCCAGTCCCTTCCCCTGCTACAGGCTCAGGCAGTCAGCGGGAGAACTCCCTGATGGCCTTGGACACCAGATTCAAACTCTCAATGTGGGGAACATTTGCCCCCCCCACTCTGCCCCACGCCCTGGGAGCACACTCAGAGCCAGTCACCTCTTCTCGTAGTCCAGATCCCCCACAGAGCCGTTCATCAGTTGGTTGGGCGTCCACTTCAGCGCCATGATGTCAGCAGTCTGGTGAAGGGACAGATATCCTGGGATTGCCTCCATGTCATCTCGCTTGAGAAGAGAAACACAGTCACAGAGTGAGCTGGTGAGAGCAGGCTAGAAGATGCCAGGAGCACAAAGCACCTCTTCAGACTGCCCGAGGCCAAGCCAGGCCCTGGAGCACAGTCCTGGGCCATAACACAGCGTCACCTGCTGCCCCTCAACCCATCCACTCAGCAACGGTGAGAAACCCTGCAAAATCTCCCAAGAGGACACGTCACCAGCTTGGAGAAGGGCGTAGAGCAGCTGCCCAGCTGAAGCAAACTTAACAGCTCCACTTAAGCAATGTGCACTTCATTTATTTGATTACAATAAGCAAGAGGGACAGCAGGAGGTGTTTTGTGGCCTCTGGTCAAGAGCCTGTTTCCAGTGGGAATCCAGCAAGCACAGTTCAGTCGCTGCCTTCCCAGACCAAAAACGCGCCAGTGCTTTGCTTCACCGAGGAGCAACTTGGGGCAGAATTACCTGGAGGGGAGCAGAGAAGTATTGTAAAGCCCAGGTGCCCCAGGAGGTACTTACTGGCTGCACCAGGACATTGTTCTTGCCATAGAGGAGCGTGGCTCGGGAATTCTGGTGCAGAGACTCCACATAGTCCCTAGCAGACAGCGACGGCCGGTCATCCATGCTGCCACTCGAATGCCTTTTCTGAATCTGGAAGAGATCCACATACAAACACGAAGTGAGTGCAGACACCTCCTGCTTTCAAGAAACTTCTCTTGAAAGCTCATTCCATACTCACTTACACACTTAAGAAAGTCACTACCAGAAATCTTTCTCTCTGTATTCTCTGAGAGGATTCCTGGCTCTGGCCAAGCTCCATTCTGTACTTAGGGAAGCCCCAGGAGTGTGCTTTGTTTGCAATATACCGAGCAGATTTCAGCTGCGTTTGTTTTTCCATTCATACATGACGCTCTGAAAGGGCACAGGCCCCATGAGGCAGTGCCGCGTCAGTTCAGCACGCCTGCAAGTCTCCATGGGCTGCATTCCCAGCATTTCTGGCTTGAAGACACCAAGTAACTGCACTTTTCTACCTTCAAACAGGCAGAGCCGCAAGACCCAGGGAGCACTGTGGAGGCTTTGCCCCTGCCAGCCCGGCCATCCCTGACTCACGCAGAGCGCCGGGCGCTTGGTGGGCGAGTCCTGGCGGCAGTGGGAGCTGTGGATCCGGTGCCTCTGAACCAGCTCATCTGCCGAGGGGTCTGTCCAGAAGTGGTCAGCGGTCTTCATCTTCGTGTACTCCAGTGCACAGGGCCCCACTGCACAGAAAAGAAAATCGTAAATGCAATGAAGTTGTCGTGTTGTTCTGATGAGTGCGGTCACCTCTGATCCCCAGCGCCTGCCATCTCGGAGCGTGGGTGGCAGGAGGGCAGGCAGCAGGCATCGGGCTCAGCACACACGGCTGCAACGTGTAACAGCAGCCAAGAATTCAGAGGGGTCAGCCAGCCCTGGCGCCGCAGCACCACGCAGCTTCCCACAGCCCAGGCTCAGCCCTGCTTTATGTCCCACACAAGGACTGAAGCCTGGGCAAGAAAAGGAAAACCCCAAGCTCAGCCTCGTAACTCTCAGCAGCTGCACATCAGGTTGTCCCTGGGAGCACTCCACAGGGTTACCTGGCCGGGGCTATCAGGTTTCTCAAGTTACTAGAAAACAACTGCATTTCACATCCCACATCACAGACTTGGGAACACAGGTTCGGAAAGCAAGCTGGCAGAGCAGGTTAAGAGGAAAGTGTTACCCAGTAAAGATGCAAGAATTGGCCCATCCACAGGATCCATCAGGAGAGCTTCTTTCTCGTAGTACTTACTAGAAGAAATAAAAGACAGCAGAATGTTGGAGCATTTCAACCTCTTGGAACTACAAAATGACAAAGAGAATGGTTTTAAATCACTGTAATGCACTTTTTCTCTGTCGCTCCTTGATGGTGAGAGGGCAGGAAGCCTTAACAGGCTGTTTCTGCCAGCCATGAAATTCCTGAGGAACAGACACCCTCTTGCAGCACACTGCAAGCATCACCACCCCATAACGCAACACCGCCAGGACTGAAGGTGATACCTGACCAGGACAGGACAGCACAGCACACAGCTTCCAGAAGACAAGGACAACACAGTCCCTGACAACCTAGCCATCAGCAGAGCACCCATCAGAACAACACCACAACTACATTGCATTTTAGGAACTGCGTGGCAGCCACCAGCAGCAGGGAATCAGCCAGAGTCCCTGTGCTGGGCACAGAGCAGCACAACTGGCCTGTCCCCACCAAGGAGTTCTCCATCCCACTTGGACATAGTTCAGCCACTGACACCTCCAGGACCCTCAGGAGTGGCAGGTGCTGGCAGTGAGTTGGGGTGGATGAACAGTCGGCCTCTGCCAACACTCACCTGCTGTTCTCCACCAAGTAGTGCACAATTTTATCCAAGACCTTTTCAAACAGGGCTGTGCGGATCCAGAGGTGCTTGATGGCTTGAGGTGACAGGTTGGGCAGCTTCGGCATCTTGCGCACATTTTCTGGGACGCCCTGGACTTGATTTCGTCTTTAGAGGCACAAAGCAAAAGACAACACCATCACTGGCTCATCACAGGGCACTTCAGGAGTCCAGGGCACCCGTGGCACCTCTTGGGGCACAAAGCCCCAGCGGTGTTGACTGTGGTGGCCAGGGATGCCCAAGGAACCACATGGGGACAGGGCTCTGGAGGCCGCTCACTTCATCTATTCCACCCCGACTCCAGAAGGTCCACATCTGCATTTGAAAATTCACTTCACTAAATCAGTTTCCCACTGTAAAGGGATCCCTCGAACACGCCTCTGCCTCAGCAGAGTTCTCCTACCCACACACCTTCTCCACTTGTGCCTGAGGACAGCAGGTCACAGGCAGAGCAGCTTGGCTTAGGGCAGTGTAAAGATTTCGACTCGCAGGTAGCTGCTCCATTCATTCCCTGGTTCCTGCCCAAGGATGAAGAAGCCACTCAAACAGCAGTTGAATTAGTGCAAGTTCAAGCCCTGTGCACTGAGGCAGACCCAATGTGGTTCCAGCTGGCTTAGTGCACTGGTCCATAAACTGTGACAGTTCACGAGCGCACACGCTCAGCTGCCCCTGGAGCATAAGACAAGGGGCAGAGGAAGTAGAAATTTTTCCATCCTTGCTTAAACCACAACTGCAACTCAGTCTCCTAGAAAAGCCACTTGCTCAATCAAGCTATTGAAAACCTGACAGGACTGTGCTCCACTGGAAGAGCACTTCCTCCTGCAGAGGCTCCAGTCGGACATCGCGGTCCACAGCCAAACCTCAGCTACACACCTGTGCCAAAACACAAGCGACCTGTGGGGTAACAGCAATGCCGGTGCCTTACGCGTTCTCAATGAGCTGCTCCAGGTCTTGGACCTTCTTGCAAAGCTCCTCTGCCGGAGGAAAGCTCTTTCCCACCTTCATAAAGAGAGCTGCTATCTTGTTGCTGCGCAGGAACCCCGCTGCCCTCCGCTTCAAGCCGTACAAGACGCAGGCTTCCACAGCAGCTGCAACAGAGCAAAGCTGTTACTGGAGAGGCAGAAGAATGCTGGAGCTCACGTCACAACAGCCGGCCTCCTGCTGCATCCACAGCAGAAATGTTTCCCAAGAGGGAACCACTGCCACGTTCTACTTCTGCCTCAGCAGACAGGAGATTAGGGAACCCAGATGTCTTTTGACCCAGGTGGCTTTACTGCCTGCAGAGTCATCAGTTCTGCAGACTATAGAGAGGTACAATTTTATTTTTGCAAAGAAGAAAAATTCAGGTCAGTGAAGTCCATTATAAGTTTGGCTAATCTGAACAAAACCACTAGCTCCATGCACGTGAACACGACCTGTGGGTATGCCGAGGTGTAAGTGCTCCAAAGGCGAGTTAACCTGTGCCTGCTAAAGTAGGTCCAGGGTCTCCTTGAAATCACCCGAGAGGGACTAGTGAAGTGGGATAACTCATCTCAGACTCACTTATCTGACCAATCAAAGGCCTAAAGAGACCTTAGTAGACCGGTGAAGAAACAAGAACATGCAGCTTTCAGACCACAGAGGTGACACCTCCATGCCACCAACAGTGAGGAGTCTGTGCTGAGGTGCTGAGCCAGCAGCCTGGGTGAGGATTTCTCGGAGCACCTCGCTCTTTCACGAAAAGAGAGCAGGAGAAAGGACTTGGACCTGTGCTGTGCTCATGGCCCTTTGTTCTGAAAACACCAGGAGCTGGCTCCGCTACACGATACCCTGAATGCAAACAAATCGATGCTAACGCTGGGAAATGCCAGCGTGCACAGAAGTCACGTCCAGCATCCAAGCCCGTGCCGGCACGATCGCCGGCAGTAGCATGGTGACTCTCTCAATGGAACAGCGACCAGCTCATGGCAGGACAGGAATTGCACGGATCAGGAGCTGCCAAGAGTCCGTCAGGTTGAGCCTGGGGGAGGAAACAGCTGATCTGTGGTTTAACAGCTTCGAGCTAAGAATCGCTGTACCCAGCCCAGCGACGCACTGGCCATGCTCCCCCAGCTAAACAGGTCTGAAACTATTTGAGGTGACCAGAAATGGGTCTGAAACCATGTGACCCCAGGCTTGGGGTCCCCCTGCAAGCTCAGCATGAGGGACCCTCTCCTTTCTCTTCAGTGTGCTCATCAGTGAAACCACCATCGTTAATCAATGGGCTAGATGGATGGACGGGATATAAAACTTCTCAGACAATCTATTTTAAGACAGAGAACAACCCCACCTGGCCTTCAGGAAAACGTTCTCACCAGACACATGACAACTAACAAGCAAGTGCACTGCATCTTCTCTCTAGGATAATTGTTTTACTATGCAGACAAACAGGGTGACATTCTCCCCGTGGGTTTCGGGCAGATTCTAGAGAAACCAAACAACTTCCGCAAGTTTTTCCTGAGGGATGGGTATGGCCAGAACAAGAGGTTTTGCTCCCCGTGCTAGGAGGGTCCAAGTGAGAAGGAGAGAGCTCAGCAGTGAGAGACAGGCACACCAAAGACTCCTCCAGCAGCAGAAGAAACAGGGTGATTTTTTCACAAAAAACCTCAGTCCTCACACAAATGTTTTCCTGAAAAAGCTAAGAGAACCTGGGGATAAACCACAAGGAACGCCAGCAGCTCGGTCTGGTTTCAGAGACCCTCCCAGCTTGGCGATGACTCAGTTGGCTCCTCACAGCTGGTACTCGGCAGTTAAGCCCCTGTGTGAGGCTTCGCCTACCTCTCTCCAGCAGGGTCTGTTGAAAGGCAGCATTATGAGGTGCTCCCCAAAACCCGGAAAGCCCCGGCCACTTGGCCTCTCCTGCCAGGCTCCCTGCCCGGGCACGCAGCAAGTGAGGAGCCAGCGACGACTCCACAGAAAGCCATGCACACGTAGGGCTCCACCGGCAACCTGCTCGCCCGAGTCCCCTGGGAGGGCTCGGGATGGATGTCTAGTGTCAAACACAGGCTTATTAAACAGGCTGATCAAAGAACTGGAAAATTACACAGACCCACGGTTCTGCAGGTTATCGATCTGGGTCTGACAAGAAGCTCTCTGGTGCGTCGGCATCACTTCTTCCCCAGAAACCCAACACTGCAGAGCTGGCTGTGCCAAGCCTGCCCTGCAGCAGCCCAGTAGATGCTGATTTGCCTCTCACTTGGAAAAGCATTTTTTCCTACAGCTCAACAACTCTATGAAGACGTTTAAAAAGACATTTCATGCAGACCCATCAGCTCCCAGGGCTGAGAAATGTTCTCATCACTTCTGCTCAGTGCCGTGCCTGAGCTCACCGCCGGGCCGGCAGGACGGGCGGCATCTGAAGTGCTGTGAGACCTGTCCTGTTGCTGACAGCAGAAAAGCAATACGCCCGGCCAGCCAAGGCCCCCCGCTCACCCAGTATCAGCCGTTCAGAGCTGCTGGCTGGACACCTAGTCTTTAAACAAAGTCCTGCACATGCCTTCCTGATGCCCAGACATGGTACAAATAGCACAGCCCATGCACAGACGGGTCTTCCTACCTGTTGCAGAGGATTATTTGCAGAGGATTATTTGCAGCTGCAAAATAAGACCAGACTGCTTCACGGCTTTGGGACCAAATATAAGATTCACCCCTCTCTTCCCCTGCCCCCGACATGCCTTCATTCACTTGCTCTGCGCTCCAAGGCTGAAATGCAAATGACAGACAGAAAAAACCTGCCCTGCCCGAGGCTGCCCATTTGAGTCATGCCCACCTGAGAGCGCCCGGACACAGAAAGCTCAGGCAGGTCTCTGCTGCCAACCTCCTGTGGCAGAGTCAACCCCAGCCAAGTTGACTCCATCCCTGGAAGGGCCCAAGTCCAGGCTGGATGGAGCCTGGAGCAACCTGATCTAGTGGGAGATGTCCCTGCCATAGCAGAGGGGTTGAAACTAGATGATCTTTGAGGTCCCTTCCAACTCAAATCATCCTATGATTCAAGTCAGGTCAGGAGCCAGCTGGAGTGGGATCACAAGCAGAAGAGCCACAGCTTTGTTTTTGGAAAATAAGGTTATGCTTTACACACAGCTGAACTAGAAATCACAGCAGCCACCACCAGCTCTTCCCCCAGTTTCTACTTTTTCGGGATTTCTCAATTATAATGCCATGCAGCAACTTATCAGGGCCCAGTTTTCTGTCAGCTAAACGTGGTAATAGGAGGCCAGCAAGCCAACAAGCCCAAAAAGCCCCTCTGTGCCTCACATCCACCCCTGTACACTGGGAACAAAAGCCACATGAGCAAGCCTGGGCAAGCACCGTGTGGAGGGGCTGCTGTGGCTCACAGCACCAAAGGGAGCAGCAGCCAGAGCTGCCTCCCTGCTCAGCTGCCCTGCAGCCCTCCCTGGAGACCCAGGACATGCTCGATGCA